AATGCTCAAAGAAGGCCAATTTCACCTCATCCGCCAGAGAAGCCACCCAGGTGCTGCCGCCATGTAACTTTTACAGCCCTTGTTGAGGCACCCTTGGACGTTTACGACCGCTGCTGGGACGCGGCTCGGTGTTGATGACGTCCGCAGCACCCGACGCTGTTGTCGAGGCCTGCCCGGGACGGTGCGAAGCTGGATGACTGCCAAACGTCGGCGCGGGAGGCGGTGGCTCGGCGATCAGCTCCGAAGATTGTCAGTCACGTGACGTCGCGGTTGTGCGCCTCCACCACGGCGGTGCAAAACGCTGTGTGACTTGTTTTATGCGAGATGCTATACCACTCTCAAAATGGTAGCATTCCGAATAATGCGGAACCATTTAAAAGTGTGCGCCAGCTAACGGGCAAATGTACGGTGTGCTCTCTCATACACTATTCAAGACTCTCAATCAATCAACAGACAAACCTGCGCTTAAATCGGCGATGATGTTGGGTAAAACATTATGTTTTACGGCCGCAAATATGACGTCTCAAAAATGTCACGCGTCCTGCGCCGATAGCTTTTTTCGTTTTAGCACGAAGTACTACTGAAGGTGCGGAAATACTCAGTCCCGCTGTCGCGAACCCCTACTCCGAGTCTCCCAAATGGACGACGGCAAACAGGAAGCCATGAGATGCACTTGACTAGTTCCGACGTCACAGGAAGGTCCCATCAGTTACGTGAATACCACAGTAAATCGCAGAAGCGGGGATGCCGGAAGGTCATTGACCGGCGACAGGAAGCCCGCGGGTGGACACCTGCGGGGCGTGAGCGGCGACTGGGCACATGTGTGATTCGCACTTGGCTCCCAGGCTTTATGATCATAGATATGCGTTAAGTACACCCAAAAGGGTTTGTGTCACTCCCAATCTCACTACACCGGGATCGCTGATAGCATCGGCAAGGCGGATTTGGGAGCGGACTGCTGCAGTCTGAAGCTGTGGTTCGGCACTTGGCGTCAGTGCGTGTCACCATTTGGGAGCGGACTGCTGCAGTCTGAAGCTGTGGTTCGGCACTTGGCATCAGTGCGTGTCACCATTTGGGAGCGGACTGCTCCAGTCTGAAGCTGTGGTTCGGCACTTGGCGTCAGTGCGTGTCACCATTTGGGAGCGGACTGCTCCAGTCTGAAGCTGTGCTTCGGCACTTGGCATCAGTGCTTGCCACCATTTGGAAGCGGACTGCTCCAGTCTGAAGCTGTGGTTCGGCACTTGGCGTCAGTGCGTGCCACCATTTGGGAGCGGACTGCTCCAGTCTGAAGCTGTGGTTCGGCACTTGGCATCAGTGCGTGTCACCATTTGCGTTGCCCATCATTTGCAGCCTCTCGAAAGCATGTGTGCAGCCCAGTCGTAGACTATTGAACCCCGATCTCCCGCCGCAGCCCGGCCAGGTGGAACGCCGTTGCATCGCACAGCTAGTGGCAGGGACCCAACCCATGACATGGCAGAATATTGCTCCAAGTTTAGCCCTCCTCTTTCTCACAACAGATAGCTCCGTATCTCTATCATGGAACCCTTCCGCGGGACCATGCGGTAAGGTGGCCCGGGCTGCCGCATGGCAGCCAAGCCCATATTTCAAACTGCCCATCGCCAGCCAGTGATGACGTGGTTATGACGAGGTGCAACGGCGGCAGCCAAAATATCTCCAGGCTGATTGCTTATCTGTCGGCCCTTCCGACCACTCACCACGCGTCATTCCGGCGGCCTAGTGGCGTGCGGCTTGCTGATGGCGAAGCCCGAGGAGCAAGTTTTGTTTAACCTGGCACCGCTGTAGCGTTGCAGACGCCTGTGATGCAGCTCAGCACAGTTTCAATATCTAACGAGTGCTACATCGTGCCCGGTGCAGTCTAGTCCCATGGGAAACCGTAAACTGACGTGTTCATGCATGCCAGTGATATGCAACTGCTCGACATCGCTGTTCTACCACGATCAATCACCAAAAGGCTCATCACCAGAATCGCGTTTTTAAGATCTTGAAAAACAGTATGGCTTTCACAATAACCAAGCGCTATCGTGCCGCAGCGTAATAAACTGGCGGACAGAAACAGGAAAACCGTTTTGAGACGAGCAGACTGACAGAAACCGGACAACCGTTTTGAAATGAGACCTTCTTCGTCTGTTAGATGGATATCACTTGCATGCTGGTACATGCTGGTACATGCTGGTACATGCAGTGTTGGTCAACTCGCAACGCCAGGCCATACTCTGGCTGCGAAGGAACACCACGCGGTCGCACGGTCCCCGCCCGCCGGCCGGGCCCGCCCTGCGACGCCTGAACGAGCGCTGCGGCTTGCGGCCCTCCCCATTACTGGCCCGCCGTTACGGCGAGGCCAGTAACGTCTAGGTTACTGCCGAGCACTGCGGCGAGCACCGCGGCCATCGTGCGGCACCCTATCGACCCACTCACGTGAGACACCTGCCGCCAGGCCGCGGCAGGCGTCTCACAGCGACACTACTGCTAACAGTGGCACTCACTCAACACTCGGCAGTATTACGACGACTGGCGCGACGACACATTGAACCTCGTCTCCAACTGCGCACACGTACTTTCAAGAGAAATTGTACGTTGGATTGTACGTTGAATTGTATTGTATTGGAAGCCACAATCATTTGCAATCATGGACACGCCAGGATATTCAGGGCAGCAAGAGCAAAAAATATGTGTACAGTCATGCTGAACACCATACCTTCATAACACTCGCTGGCGGAACGCCAGGCCCGCCGCGTGCTTCGGCGGCTGGAGGTTAATGAGCTCATCCTCCACCACCTGCAAAGGGTCCGTCTGCAGATCACAGCTGCGCGTGCCCGACCCCGCGTGGCGAGGACCGCTCTCGAAATACGGCTCTGGGGCCACCTCACAGAGGGTGATCACTCCTCACAGGTGGTCACCAACTGCTGCAACGGAGGGATGGTGTCGTCACGACGCCCTCGGCCAGCACGTGCGGTCAGCGATCGGGTTGTGACGTATTCATCCGTCACGGTTTAACACACGTCGGCTGTGCAAAAGATCTAAATAGATGATAAACCGCAATCACGTTGAATTAAAGAAGGTGGTTGAATTTTAAGTTCTACACATACCTCACAGCAGCTGAACCTCCAGTACTGTATACGTAATGTGAATACGCATATCACCACTAAAATGAAAGTAAATGCATAGATGCCGGGGATACATACACAGATGTCTCTGTGTTATGCAATCAGAGGCAGAAGATACCTGGAGAAGCTGCCACGCATACTGAATGGGAAGGACAAAAAATAAACATCAAAAACGCGTTTTAGGTCAAGGAAAAATGGCCGTGTATCAAGACGGAAGTTATAATTCGCGTCTTGGAAGGCGATATCAGTCCTTTAGCGGCGTTCATAAATCGCTTTGATGTTGTGTGCAGGAAATGTAACAAGCAAACAGGGGCCATACCGAATATTCACGGAATAAAATGGGAAATTTAGGACAGAAAAAGGAAGCGGGAGTATGTATACATGGAGCTTTTCCTTCAAAAAAGGCTATCATCCAGCATTCAATGGAAAACTTGGAAAACGACGAATGGAAAACACTAAATTGTGAAAGACATATCAAATACTCTCAAGAGATAACTTAGGGGGGGGGGAGTTAAACTTAACTCACGCCTGAGGGTGCGACACGAGGTGCGACACGCTCTGGTGGGTGCGTGGGGGAAGGGGAGGGGGCAATCCCGCCCCATCAGATCTCCTAAAAACATGAAAGAGCTGTATACACAAATTCACGGTGCTGGTAAACTTGTGTGGACTCACTTGCTTCAGATGTTTAGGTCCCTCAACCATACCAAGTCCGTTTTATACCAAGCCAACATTCACGTCTATTGTCAATCTCCAACGGCTGGAAATGCTTTCATTAAGGCGGGAGTGATTTTTCCCAACGAGCGCGAAGCAGGTACTGACATCACAAATCCACTTTTAACTTTCTTCAGCCTAATTGATTTTTTGTTTGTTCTACGCTTCTGGCTTTGCAAAAAAACCTTATCATGCCGACCAAGTGTTGGAAATTGGCATTATTTTTCTGCTCTCGAGATGCTGCCTTCATGTACTCCTAGCCCAAAACCTCTCGAGTTCTAATGCTAGGAAAATTGGGACCCACTCAGCTCGGGATCCTTGGGAACACTCATGGGTGCATTAACACCAGGTTCCAGCAACTTCAGGCAACAAAAAGGGCTCGTAGGGAGATTAGGTGGTTCCAGAAAGCCGGGGGCTACCAAATGACAGAAGACACGAAGTGCAAATGGTGCCCTGGCGGGCAGAGCACCACGAATTAACACATATTTCTCTGGAAACTCCTTCTAATCCCAAGATGTCCGTAACATCGTTAGGATGATGTGAAGCTGACAACCTGAAAATGTTTGCAACAAAGTACTCCAGTTGTTCGGGGACCCTAACAGGCCGAGGAAAGCTTCAGGAAGGGAAAAGTGGTCATGAGGTTAGACAATGTCTGTGGAGTTTCTACGGGATGTAGGATATGAAATATGAAATCTCTATTGGATGCATTCAGGGATCCGGCAGTCACATACTCCAAGAACCGACGAGTACCCAATAGATTTTTAGAAGCCCGATAGGAAGACGGAACAACAGTGCTTACCCGATGACTTAAGCATTACAATTGAACGAGTGACCCCGCTGATGTCACGGTAGCCGAGATGGCCGGCAGTACGTGCGAACCGAACCCAGACGCTAAAACGTTGAAACAACCATCACTAGTAAAACAGCGACTGCTGAGCAGCATTTCCGTGTTACATGACTGACACAGAGCAGGAAAACGGAAGCACTCGTGCGATTCTAGATCGTTTGCGACGGGCTCCCCAATTGGGCCTAAGCCTGTCATGCTGTTCGGGAATAAAATTGCCCTTGACCATCTAACCCAGCGTAAAGAATTTAGCCGGTCACACGGGCGCGTGTTAATGTCGGGTGTGGCCTCATCACTGGCCGATCCCCGTCTGTCCACAGGACTACGAGCTAGACATCTACCTGCGCCAGGAGTGGCAGGACGAACGCCTCAGCTCACCTGGTGACCAGAACGACATGCTGATCGTCAGCAGGAAGCACGTGATCGATCAGCTCTGGACGCCCGACCTCTATTTCCTGAATCTGAAGGTACGCCACGCGTCGGGATGAACGCGTGTTTGTTGTGTGGTTGCGCCTTGCGTCGTTGCGGGCAGCGGAATTCTTTGTGGGTGTGTTCGCTTTGGCGTGCGATAGGTTGCTAGCTACAAAATGTAAAATGATAAATAATGCTTCAGTCACGTCATTCATGCTCAAATGAAAGCAGGGTAACAATGTATTTGTTAAAAAGGCTCGTATGAAACGTGGGCTCTTACGTACGCACAGACCTTAACGCTCTTGTTTTACTGGGACTATTTCAGGATGCGAAGTACCACGAGGTCACAATGCCGAATGTGTTGATGAGGATTTACCGAGATGGTTCGGTCTTCTACAGCATTCGGTATGTTCGTCATTGTGCATTTTTGACATCAGGGAGAAGCAACATACATCTGCTCTCGTTTTGTGTACCAAAAGTTCTTGGCGACCTGAAAACTATCGACTTTTAATATCGTGTGATTCAATGATATCATATTAATCTTTCGAAACAAGTGCAATCATCTCACTCTACCAACCACCACTTCTTCATGCTGCTCATCTCTCCGACGCTTTTTACCGACAAGATCAATTTTGAGCTTATCGTTCTTATGGCGGTAAGATTCGCACCAGGCGTGAGCTTGTATGCGCTCGGTTTGTCCAGCATTGGGTGTTCCAGAGCTGCGTAGACATTCTAAGTCTGTCTTTGTTTTTGTCGAGGCATGTGTTCATTGTATGGGAACTGTGGAGGCCTTACATGCCTGTTGTGCTTTATAAAAATTGAGCCTTTTTCTTGAGGTGTATGTAAAGACCACATTTTTGACATGTTTCTTTGAATGTCCAAAATCTGCTAAGCGGGTGCGACAGCATTGACGTTTTGGGAGAACATAACTTGTGTGGAAGGGCCACATGAGCGACAACGCTAGCCTGTGCCGCTAGGATTGTTAGCCAGACGTTGCTTCGAATGACCGCTTGGTGCAAGTTCTCGTGCCATTACAGCCCAAGCTCAAATGTGCTATGCTTTTGTACCTTTCGTTCAAAGGAAAGTCCCCTCGACAATAAAGTGGGCGGGGCTATTGCATCCCACTGAAGCTATATGCTGTACAGCATATGTTTAAAATCCATGGCACGAGACAGTATATTCTGCATAACTTTGAAGACTGCATTTTGCATTCACTGCTCGTTTCCAGCAAAGAGAAAACCGTGGTGCTTGGCCTTAGAGTTGATATAGCTTTGGTGTCAAAATAGATGTGAAATCCTGTGACATAGATCAGCCGAGAACACGGAACAACCAAAATATTCAAACGCCCTTGTTACCCGTAGGAAGCTAATTATTGCCGTTAATATTATACGCGGCATGTCCTGTGTACGAGGTCGACAAGAAACCTGCGTTTAATACCTGTGAGCAGCATAGGCCGTCCATGCTATCGATTCCAACATGTTTGGTAAAGACTTGTATTAACACGCGCCCAGGTGGCCGGCTAGATGCCCTTCGCTCAGGTGGGTGGTCAATTTGACCCCCCTGAGATCTCGGGAACTAAGAAAGCTAGAGACGCCACATTTACAGAGTGTGTTGACCTGTGCGTGAACTCATTTAGGTCAAAGTTTGAGGTTCCGGGGTCATGATCTTCGGGTCAGATAAGGTCAAACAAGGTTAAATTCCAGGTTGGTCTCCAAAGTGCTCCAGAACCCGGAGAACTGCTCCCAAGCAAAAGGTCACATGCTCAGCTAAGGTCATGGTGACCATAATTATACAAGACTGTCCTGGGTTTTGCATTTGAATAGGCGACAAAAAATACGCCAGGCAGTATGTTTGTAAAAAATGCTGACCTGTGTCATTTTAGGTCAATGACCTATTCTGACCTCTAAGAAGTCCATGGAAGATGCATAATGCAGTTCCTGCTATCAATAAATTCGGAATGAACATCAGAAACTATCCCATGCAGCAAGCCCTAAAGTAATAAAGCAGGTTGGTTTCGGCCGTGGTCTGACCCTTACACCTGACCTTAGGTCAACGTGATTTACTCATCCAATATGTGTGTTACCTAAGAAAGCCTCCTAGAGATGTATGGCTTCGTCTAACACTCCACCGTTGCATATGATTGAACGATTCCTTAGAAATTGACTACGCTGAAACCATGGCCTGATTTTGACCTGGCCTAGGTCAGCGACCTTACAAGGTTCATCTTGTTGATGCCAAACGATCCGCTATTCAACTGTCTACAGCTAGGAAAAAATTGGCGTGGCTGCGCCGCGCTGTTCGGAAACCATTCTGGAAAAACCTTCCGGGGGTCATCCCCGCCCGAGCGCGTGTTAAAGGATCGTCAACATGCGTGAAGGACGAGCGGCTTTATGCTGATGTTGGTTTGATTGACGTTTACATCCCTACTGTAGTAATATGAACAGCATTAAGATAACACAGCAATTGGTGCAGTCAGTCTTATCCAGGCTTGTACAATGTTGTAAAACAAAGCTGCGGCATGTTTGTTCAAGATCGCCAGAGGACCAAGCAAAATGCAGCTTTACTGCCATCGATCCTTCTGGATATCAGTGTCGAGTGGGTTAGAGTCCAATCTCAAGACCAGCATTTTTTTCGACGTGTTACCCAAATTGGTAAGCCATTGAGATCTTTGTGCTCCTCAGCATTTATGAAACCTGTAGCTTCAAACATGATAGCAGACTGCAGGTGTTAATATTCGGTTATCACAAAGAGTAGACCACACTCATCTACCTCGCTTGGTTATGCAGGGCCTCAGTGCCTACCTGCATATGTGATACATCAATTGGTTCGTTTATATCATCCCATTTACATCCGAAAACAATTAATTATACGCTATGCAGAAAAAAGAAAAGTTATATCACGGCGTCCTTTTTACTGAAAGATTATTTGTACGGTGATGCTCAACGGCCTGTAAGAGGGTGTAAAGCTGGTCAATGTCCTTTGCGCCAGTAGCATATTTTTGCGTAACCTTGAAAGCCTTTTCGCCAGGTCATCGACGTTTTTTACGTTCAAAACGAGTGTCTGTAGCTCGCGGTACCCGACATGTAAGGCCTAGTGGCTTGGCTTCACCTGCAGCCATGTTGACTCAATATTAGGATTTGTTGATGTGTTCAGGATCGCAAACCGGCTGGGACAAAAATTTATGTATTTATCAACAGAACGGAAAACTTAGCTCGGCTGATGGCAAAGTCAGCTGAGCATTCGGTTTTGCGGATGGTTTTTGCGACCTCTTCATTCACGTGGTCTGTTGGGACTGCGCAGGCCGATTGGGACCATCTCCTCAGTTAGGCACCATAGGTCGTGTGACAAGACCCCTGGCGGCTTCAGCTACCGCTACCGCGCCGCCCAGAGGCGACACCGTGTAACGCATCGGCGTACGGCGCGGACCGACAATGATGGATGACCAATGATGATGATGATGCAAGACGATGGATGGAGCCATTCGGTGCACTGGCTAATGTCATCGAATATGGCACGCATACCAGAGCCGTAAAGGTGCAGAAGTAGTCCAGTTGTCGCACCGTTTGATCATTGTAAGCCATTTATCGACTCCGGGTGAAAAATGACATGCATCATTCTATTGTAGGCTTTCATGTTCCAGATAATATGAACAATGCTTACCGCCATCCTAGTAAGCGCCCTTGCGCCAAAATGGTCCTTTCCCTCCTTCTTCCCTCCATCCAGCGCCACATGTGCAAACCTTTCCTACATTTTCCGTTCAAATCAGCCAAGTGCTGCCATGTGTTTGTGGCTACGCTCATTTGCACCCCCTGACGCGAAAGCGGAACATGTCTTTGTCGCATCATGCATCCATTGCTAGTGTAATTGCTGTTTAAAGTACAACAATTTGCATTTGGATAGCTGATTGCTGTCTAAAGTGCAAAACTTGGCATCTGGATACCGAAAGGTGTACTTTCTGTATCTGCATTGATGGCACTTAATTCAGTTCACACAAAAGGGGTGTTTGAAAGCGCTCCCTTTTTTCGAAGCTCCAAACCGCTTCTGTCGTGCTACTCTTGTTTTATTACAACCACCATGGTCATGTTTCAGTTGTCTTATTTACGGAAAGCACCACGTATACCTGTAAACCCAAGGTAGTATGTATTACCGCTGGAAGATTGCCATCTGGGCGTGATAACCAAACTTCACTGTATGTCCCTTGCAATACTGAACCCTGCAATCACCCCTGCGCATGCCATGTACTCATCATTTTAATGCGAAATAAATGCGCAATGAGCCAGAAAATTTCAAAGACCTGCTCGAAATTGTTTCGTGGAAACCAACAACACCCGAGAGCAAAATTTGCTTCCTTCCCGCCAGGAACAGGGCTAATGTTGACCTGACGTAGTGCGTCCCCGACTGGCCACAACATATGACATCGAACGCCGTTGAACTGATTAATCACCAGAATGTGTGCCAGCCCTATTTCACAATCATAGCGTAATTTTGGACGAAGTGACGAAGGCGTGTCGACCACCCTGTATGCAGGTCCCGCTCGAATATTTATGGCATACATTTTGAAGTGACTGCTGCCTCCTTGCAGGTTAAAACTATCATTGTCATGTCAGATGAAGCTCGAGGACTATCCTTTGGATACACAGCAGTGCGGTATTCAACTTGCCACGTGTGAGTATTTGTATGAGTATCTGTGGGGTGGCAGAACAAACAGAAGTCAGATGTGTACCGATTATCTTCAAACATATGCTTTCTTCCACTTTGTAGTTTTATGCAAGTTCATCACTCCATCCAACATTTGTATCTTTTGGTGTGTTCCCACCATTCATATGAGTGCCATCAGTGGTATCTTTTGGTGTGTTCCCGCCATTCATATGAGTGTCATCAGTGTTATCTTCTGGTGTGTTCCCACTGTTAATATGTGTGCCGTCATTGGTATATTTCGTGGTGTTGTTGGCTCATTGAGGGCTACCCAAAACTTGTGGGCAGTGTTATACTTACCCGGATTCTACACTTGACGATCATATGTTTCAGAGTTCCTTGGTGTCTAGGTTCCAAAATATATTTACATTTTTCTTTATGTTATTTCTCTAGGTGCGGGAATTACATAGCAGGCTGGGAAAATTGGTGTCAAGTTGTAGAAGAATGATAACTCAACCCAAGGGATGATATGAAACTGTCCCACATCTTCCTTTCAATCAGTCAATATTGTATTAGTGACAACATGCAAAGTTGCATGGAAAGCTGGTACCATTAAAATTTTACCTGCTAGGTGTCCCAAAATCACAACAAGCGCCGATACAAATCACGATCACCACACTCGCTAAACCAAACAATGATGTATTTGTGTTTACCAACAGATTACGAACTGTTCGCGAACGGTGCGTGTTCGCGAGCACCAGACATACCGAAAGGCGCAAACACAGACGAATGCAAATGAGTAGAAATTCGTCATCTGTCCCCGAATTATTGGCGACCTCCAACCATTTTATCATATATGATAAGCAAGAAGCATAACCCTGCCAAAAGTGCGTTGCAAGGACCTTCATTCATACAAAACGGCACATCACATTATGTAAAATGGTTCATTTTGTCACGCCGGACAACCGTGGGTACCTTGGGGCTGGGATCCCAACGTCCAATGTTCGTCTTATGACATTGCGGTGTTAAATTTTGTGTATGTTTGATCCCCAATGCTTAGTGTTTAAGGGCTGATGAAAATGATAAAACAGAGATCCGCCGAATTTTGCACAGCTGATCACTTTATTCTAATTTTGTCCAACACCAAGTGTAGTCTCGGAACATTTTCATTCAGTGGGCCATAGGACCTGTAAAGTTCACGCCAAAGAGGAAGAGAATTGCTGCTGTTTCCAAACATAAACCAGCTGCTTCTGCAAAAGCGGCATTTACCGATCAGGTGGCGAATTGAAAAGACAAATCATATCTTAGTGTTCAATTGGGGCCAATGGCCTATGCGTAACTTTTCCTTAGAATGTCTCTAGCAGGAATGCTCAAGAACAGGGCTATCACAGAGGCCAAACCCCGAGGGCGGCTCCGACATAGACACTCACAGTGCTCATTTGTCAGCCAGCAGTGTCGTAATACCACATTGCCTTGCGCTGCTGTTCCCCGGCGATACGTTCGGTATACTGTAGGAAACGGCGCGTAATTAGACGCCCGTAAGGTGTTCTTTCTGACGTGCTTATCCTTGACGCCCGGAATCACGCAGTTGGTGGGAGGGGGCATCAGCCCTAATGTTTCTTGCTTGTGCGTGCATCGACTTTCTAAGCAAATGTTTCACAGAACACCTTGTCTCAAGGACAATGCCTCGCCTGTTGCGTTACTAAAGCGCCGCTTTAGCTGCGGAGCGGCACGTTTGTATATATTGCGCTACCAACTGATATAACAAGTCGGGTCGCTTGTTGGCATGAGGAAATCAAACGTAATCTCACAAGATATCGTTGACTTTGGCCCTAGCCATGCGTTTGGTTTTAGTTCACATCTCGCGCTTGATTAAGAGCCAGATTGTTACGCAATGTTTACTTTCTTGCTCTCCGCTTGAAACGCCAGTGGAATTGCACCAGCCTGGCGAAGATTATGCAATGGAAGATAACCGGCACGTTTTGCGTTTTCAAGCATGGGATATTTTAAGTCGAGAAGTCGAGATACTCTCCGTGGTCATGAAATGCATTAGCTTGAGAGGACGTTTTGTGTTTGGCCAGGTTAAGGCAAAATCGTTAAAACGAAAGATTCCGGGTAGTTGAAGGCCTTTCGGACAACGATGCGCTTCTGATTCCGATGAATGCTTGCTATTGTTTTTAGGCTAGGCAGCAGCCTAAAGCTTTTTTGGAGATGATTGCCCATAACTCTTTTGATGCAACACTTCACTCGAAACGGACTGGCATCCTGATGGGGCACAATATTTGAGCTTATGCCGAAATCATCAAGCCACAGGTGAAAATCAAACCCACAAACCTGCACTATGAGTTCAGAGTTCTTTGCTGACAGTTATGGATGCTTAACACACGCCCGGGTGGCCGGCTAGATACCCTTCGCTGTGGTGGGGGTCAATTTGACCCCGCCCCCCTGAGATCCCGGGAACTAAGAAAGCTAGAGACACCAAATTTACAGGATGTCTTGATCTGTACGTGAACTCACTTAGGCCGAAGTTTGAGCTTCTTAGGTCATGACCTTTAGGTCAAATGAGATCAAACAAGGTCAAATTCCAGATTGGTCTCTAAAGTGCCCCCGAGACCTAGGCAACTGTTTGTAAGCAGAAGGTCACAAGCCCATTTGTGGTCAGTGACCTTTTTTGACTTTTTGAAGGTCATGGTGACCAAAATCATATAAGACTGCTCTGAGTTTTGCGTTTGAATACGCGACAAAGAAAACGCTGGGCAGTATGTTCCTAAAACAAAATGTCGGCCCGGGTCATCACAGGTCAATGACCTGCTCTGACCTTTAAGAAGTCAATGGAAGATGTATAATGTAGTTTCTGCTGTCAATAAATTCGAAATGAGCACAACAAGCCATCCCATACAGCAAGCCCTATAGTAATAAATCAGGTTGGTTTTTTAACTTGGTCTGGCCTTCATACCTGACCTTAGGTCAACGCAATTTGCTCATTCAATATTTGTGGTGCCTAAGAAAACATCTCAGATATGTATGGCTTCGTCAAACACTCCGTTATTGTATCAGATTGGACAATTCCATAGAAATGCCTTCGCCGAAACCGTGGCCTGACTTTGACCTGCCATATATCAGCAATCTTACAAAGCACATCTAAATTAGTGATGCCAAACGATCCGCTATTCAATTGTCTACAGCGTTGCAAAATCCGAACGGCGCGGTTACGCCGCGCCGTTCGGAAACCATTCTGGAAAAACCTTCGGCGGAGTGTCAATTTGACTCCTCTCGAGCGCGTGTTAACACACTAGAAGGTGCTGGTTAAACGACATAGTCAAGCAAACATTAGTTATATGGTCAACACGAGACATTTCAAGCTATAGTCATGATATGGACTTGCACATAGCACATGATCCGTCGTCACGAAGTGTTATGTGCAAGTCCCGGAGTGCGGGCCGGCCACGCCCACTCCCGCTGGGAACAAACAGTTATCTTGCATTCACAACCGAACTGTGCACAACACACCCTGGGGACTTATCAGATGGCCGATATGGTAAGTGTGCTCTGTTTCCCTCTTTCCTCATTGCTGCGAGTCCCGCCTATAGCCATAGGCGGCATTCGGTAGTAAGGAACAAGACGCCTACAGCAGGAGGTGGCGCACAGCGGTAGCGCCGGTCGCCTAGCTCGGTTTCTTCGTTAATTCTGGAGATCGATGGGATCCTGAGCTTTGGTGATTATTGCATGACCGCTCAGTTTCGCTTTCTAACAATGCAGTACAGCGCATGATCACAAGTCCACCAACATGTGCGTTTTAAACTACATTTGCACTACGCATCAAAGGAAGATCTATGAATAACGCGAAGTTTCAACTGGCGGGTAAAAACCAGCTCAAGTTCATGAAACGCCAGACCACACTGCCTCTTTCATGTTTCCAACACATCTGGTGCGCTCATCCCAAAAATCTTTCCTGCGGTGATCGGGACGCGGAATTAGGCCACGGCCCATCGGGCCACCATTGCGCCGCTGCTCCCCTCAGCCGTCCAAACTGAGCCACGGCTTGCGAAGACACGGGGAGGTGACGGGAGGATCCCGTGACAAGTGCCCAGCAAATCCACACCAGGCACGGTGCGCCGAGAGCGAGCGCGCGTTACCAGCCCTGCTCGGCCCGTGATCCCGCATCAGTCGGGGGCGCTGCAGCGCAGACACGCGCGGCAGCGGCTTTGAGCCTGTGCCAGCCGTCGGCTCGTACCGGGCGGCTGAGCGCGGCTCACTCGTGCCGGCGGCGGCGGCGGTAGCGGCGGTGGCGGGGCCAGGTGGCTCATGCGTGTCAGCCCGCCGGTGCCCGCTCGGCGCCCGCCTGACGCCTGGCATCCCGGCCGAGCTGGCCGCAGCCGCCTGATTAATCCCCGCCTGATGGATCCGAGGCCGGGGCGCTGGCGAAACGGCACATCTGGAGGGATGAAGGATGCTTTTAACAGGCTCTCGGCTCTAACGAGGAACGCGAAATACGCACTTGGCGACTGCCTGGAATGGCTAGGTAATTAGCAAAGCTGTCCTGCCCAGGCCCATTTTTCATCACAGTCTATTTCGACGTCTTCACTCGTTCGCATTCTAGTTCAGCCGTGAGTGAGCACCAGACGCGCCTGCCACCTCTCTCAAAGCGGGGTCATTGATAGATGTGATGTGCAGCATGCCAATATAAGATATGGCGGGGCTCTTTGGTACTGAACACTCACGTATCTTGTGCGCCGACAGAATGGGGTCCCTTGGCGCTATAGGATGAGATGAGGCCACGTTAGGCCGACTATATATGGTTATGTCCGTAATCACACATGTCCGTGATCGTTTAAGCACGTCACATTATCGCACGCACCGTGCAGGATGATAAATTGGGCAAATCCGCCCGTTTACGTAATGTGGCTTTTTGCCACCAGCTCATTCTCAGGAACAGCTTCTTATTATGTACGGGAAACACGTTGGTCCGCAAAAATCGATTGAAAGCGTCGACAGGGTGATGTTGTTACAAGCTGAAAAATGAAAGGCAC